AATAAAATCACTAATTAATTCGCAAAGTAACGGCTTCCAATCCATCATTCCTGCATTTAGGCTTTGCGGGTTAGCACATTTCAGGTTGCAGTGTAAATCGTTACATTCGTTTTCGTTACGGAGCTTCGGTTTAGGCATAAGAATGCAATTGTTTTAGAAAATTTGGTCGTCTGCCAAGTATGTTTGAAGAATGGCTAAAAGTTACATTTTCAGAGAGTAACTTTTACGCCTGTATTTTCTTTCATAAGAAAATGAGTTTAGTAGTATGAAATACCCTTTCAGAACTTTTTTGGGTTTAACTAGACGTCTGTAGAATACAGTATACGCGCATCTCATTAAACGTTGTTTGAATGATATATCTGTCTTACTATTGCAAAAAGTGTTTGACTGGATATACCACGGAAATAAAAAATCCCCCTGTGATATCTTGGTTATCCATTCTGTTATCCGAATACTGGTCAGCTGAGAGGTACTAAACACCTTAAGTTTTACTTGTTCATAACCTGAGTTACCTTATGGAAAATTATACGTATCATTCCCTAGGTGCTAAATCTTCGAAATGTTATAGTTGGTAGGTAAATGTCTATCAAACACCGGCGTTAGAAAGCGGTGAACGTAAGCTGGATGACGGGATAATCACTAGCTTGCAACAGCTACAGGCCGAAAATTAGATTTTGTTTTTTGCCATACATATTCGTATTAGAGACATGTTTACATTCAAACATATTAATAATCTTTACTGATTTGGTTTGAGTAAAAAGATTTATTTATTTTAGATTTCCGTCAATTATTCTTGCTGGAATAGACGCTTGTGTTGTACTTCTAATTCATGGCACAATTCATATTTTTTATAATCTTTAGTGAACTTCCTCTTTCTCGAAATATTTTGGGAGAGAGACGTCAGCCTTGTTAATCTGAGTTTTAGGAATATTGGTGTGTGAGTTTCAATATGTCATTATTTGCCATCAAAAACGCGGTTAACCGGAATCTTCGGTGCTGTAGGCTTTAAAGTTCACCTAAGTCATTTGTTAAGGCTGTAATTACAAGCGAATATTAGAAGACGGCAGAAGTAAAATCCGCCACTCTAGTAATTAAAATTCGATCTTTAATAAGCCACGGTGGATTATATGCAATCAAAAAATGACTGAAGAAAATATCAATATCTACGCATGAATATATGTTTAATTCGTTAAGCAAGGGAGGTTACCAGAAAATATAGCAAAGCTCGAATAATGCCGATAAATTATATGAATTAATTAGTGTGCAAGTAGTTCGCATTAATTTATCCCGATAAGTGTGGAATTAGTCAAACGTCCTTTGAGTTAAACGACTTTCGACCAGTTTGTGTAGTGACAAAATCTATCAAAAAGTCGTTACTCAAATTCATAAATTTTGAAGCTCCTGGGATTCTCAGTCGCAGATTACACACGTATAAACAATTATAAATCGGTTTCAGTTATTGGGCGAATGCATTTCATTCGCTGATGACCATTCAGCTTTCCCAAAAGTAGCGGATAGTAAGTAGGTCGGAACATAAAATGCCTTTGATAAAGGGGCACTATGTGCTTACATCAGCAAATGTGTTGACGCAAAATTGTAGACATTTAGGATAATCTAAGTAAATTGAAAAATACACTGACAAAACCTTTTATTCCTTTTGCAAATCACATGGCACTACCATTTTTGAATTTGCTTTAAAAGCATTGTGCTAAAAATGGCCCACCGCTTTAAAGCATTATGTTTCCTTACCATTTTTATGCACTTTGCAATACAGCGAAAATAACCTTGATTTGATTACGGCTTACTCACAGCAATAATAATGCAATTGTTATTATTGCCCTTTGATTTCCATATCGGCCCAAAGCAACGGCTGTTATTTAAGAGTTTCCGGATAATTTTTGTATTATTTCTTTTCTGGACAACATGAACAGTCGAGCACCACCTGAAAGCTGGAATTGAAAATAAATGAAAGTGCTTATTGTCACCTCTGAATTGAGCATTTTGAATGACATTTAAAAAGCATAAACGTGTTATATAACATTGGAACTAAAAGCCTGCATGCCTATGGTCAATCAGGTACTACAAATTTCGACGCAGTATAATAATGAGTTGATATTTTCGAGGAAAATTTCAAATTAAGGCAGGTCTCCTCTCTTATAAATGGTTTTTGAAATACAAAAACTAACACTTACGTGTCTACTTGCGCATTTAAAGTAGCTACTTTTTATACCTGAACTTTATTCCGCAGCATACCGATTGCAGAATGTGGGCCTATCAATGACATTCTGATAATCTTGGTCCTAAGTCAGTGATTACTAAAATGGTTAAAGAATAAACTCAATCGTATTTGATGTATTTTGATTACGTAGCATGAACGCGCACCGATTTCATGGCTTCCCAAAGCAAACATGCTCCGCGTGAGTAGGAAGCGTCACGAAGATGCAGCTACCTGCGAGCGCGAACTAGGACAATATATGGTTAAAAGGTAATGTAAAAGGCATCCTTATATCTCCTATCAGAGTGGCAATTAAGTTCAATGGAAAGTAGGCCTTAAGCGAGCTTTATCAGAAAAGTGTATTGCCAGTTGGTGAAATGTGCAGTATCATCTACAACTATGAAAATAATTGGGTAAAGTAACAAAATTATCTCACGAAAAGAAAAGAACAGTATTATTTTTTGAAAAATTTTGGACGTAGTAGAATAGAGCTAAGAAGGGTAAAATCTCCTTTCTTGCTAAAATTTTTATCCAGTAGGTTGTCATTTTCTTTCCAGGATTACTGTTTGGGCATACAATAATCTACACATATTTCATTTTAATATATTATGAATGGGAGTTTCTTTTCAATATAAAAGGCTACAGTATCCTTAGGAAATTCGATGTTGCTCTAAGTACATATACAGTATAGCGAGTGCTGCAAGAAACGTTCCGCAATTTGTACAAAGACCGGCAATTACTCGCAAGACAACATTGACTAGGGTTGCAATATTGCTTCTCATGCAGTTCACTTTCAATTACTTTCCGTCACGCTAGGAATAAAATTTAAAGAAAGCATAATTTGCTATTAAATAAATACAAGAGTGGATTTTTTCGTGCATGCCTTCCATTAAATATATTTGAGTTGATAAAGGCAGTCAAAATTAATGATAAAATGCATACTATTTAAGTAGCTATTTTAGAGAGAATCAAGTTTTTCTCGGCGGTCGGAAAGAAGCTTATCGCAGAGTCGGCATCCTAGCGTGACTGAAAATAATTGAAATTGGACTGCATGATGAACTGTATTGCACTCTCACTCAATGTTGGCTTGCGAGTGATTACCGGTCCTTTTAAAATTGCGGAATGTTTCTTGCAGTACACGCCACATTGTACATCTCGATCCCGATAATGTGGAAAGGACGCTTGTCAGCCAGTGTATTAGAGTAGACGTACCCAAGGATGGGTGCCCCCACCCGTTAGAGGTGCGAGGTAATATTTTGGTGGGCATGAGGTACTGTTTTAATTTCTTCATTAAAATAAATTCAAGACTGTTTTAAAGTTGCGAAAATTCCCATTAGAGAATTCAGAAGAGTATTTGGCGAGCATACGTAGTTTTCGATAAATTCTC